CAGATCAGTTGTCAGGGATCACATTCATGGACTAAAAGCTGCAATAGGATTCTACTTAAAATCCTCACCAAAGAACTGGACACCGGTAACAACATTCATTTACAAGCATTTCCAGGCTAGCATACAATACAGGCGACGGCGCTCGGTGTCACGCTAACGTACGAATACAGGCGACGGCGCTCAGTGTCACCCTAACGTACGAATACGGGCGACGGCGCTCAGTGTCACCCCAACGTACGAATACGGGCGACGGCGCTCAGTGTCACCCCAACGTACGAATACGGGCGACGGCGCTCAGTGTCACCCTAACGTACGAATACGGGCGACGGCGCTCAGTGTCACCCTAACGTACGAATACGGGCGACGGCGCTCAGTGTCACGCTAACGTACGAATACGGGCGACGGCGCTCAGTGTCACGCTAACGTACGAATACGGGCGACGGCGCTCAGTGTCACCCTAACGTACGAATACGGGCGACGGCGCTCAGTGTCACCCTAACGTACGAATACGGGCGACGGCGCTCAGTGTCACCCTAACGTACGAATACGGGCGACGGCGCTCAGTGTCACCCTAACGTACGAATACGGGCGACGGCGCTCAGTGTCACCCTAACGTACGAATACGGGCGACGGCGCTCAGTGTCACCCTAACGTACGAATACGGGCGACGGCGCTCAGTGTCACCCTAACGTACGAATACAGGCGACGGCGCTCAGTGTCACGCTAACGTACGAATACAGGCGACGGCGCTCAGTGTCACCCTAACGTACGAATACAGGCGACGGCGCTCAGTGTCACCCTAACGTACGAATACGGGCGACGGCGCTCAGTGTCACGCTAACGTACGAATACAGGCGACGGCGCTCAGTGTCACCCTAACGTACGAATACAGGCGACGGCGCTCAGTGTCACGCTAACGTACGAATACAGGCGACGGCGCTCAGTGTCACCCTAACGTACGAATACGGGCGACGGCGCTCAGTGTCACCCTAACGTACGAATACGGGCGACGGCGCTCAGTGTCACGCTAACGTACAAATACAGGCGACTGCCCCCTCGGTTTCCCAGTATATTCGTCCTGACCCTCTGCCCCCTTGGAGTACAATCGATCTCCTCCCTGACACATACTGTAAGGCCGGGTTCACACTCTTCCAGTGCGTTGCATAAACATGTTTTTTCACAAATTAATGTGCTTTGCTTTAAATGTCCAAGAAGACGGACATTTTATTTACATTGACAATTTCCGCAGCGCTTTACATACTGTACATTCACATCAGTCCCTGTCCCAAGGAGCTTACAATCCCACATACATACTAGGGGCAATTTAGACAGGAGGCATGTAACCTATCTTTGGAGTGAAATATTACAAGCACAGAACATGCATACTCCATGCAGATAGGCACATGGCTGGGAGTCGAACCAAGGACCATCATACTGTAAGGCAGATGTAATAGAGATGCATTGCCATGTACTGGAGTGCCATTCAAAATGACTGCATTACCCACAATGCATCACTGCAAGTAAGTGAAGCCAGCCTAAGGGCCCATTCACGCCATGTGTGGGGCTGTACTGGTCTCCAATAGGCCAGGTCACATAATAAGCTGCATTAATGTACGCCGAGAAATGCTGCAGAACGTGTCAATGTAAGAAAACCCGCTCCAGATGTAAGCCAAAAAAGAAAAAAGTACATTAAAATGTGACAATGTGTACTAAGCAGGTGGTGTAAATCCACAAAAAGTACAACTTCAGTTTTATTAAACCCGGTCTGATCCCTGCAGAAAATGAAATACAAAGTCACATGATGGCTTTTCTGTGTAAACAAGCTGGCCACCACTAGAGGGGGCCGTTCTCATTGAGTGACATAAGCAGCTCATCATCTAAGAGCCCAGCAGGCAAACAGCAGTGAGAAAGGTAAGTCGTCATTCCGGTCGCTTATTTATTTTTTTTAAACAAGCTTCAACATGAAGAGAAATGTATATATATATATATATATTTGGTCACAAGGCATTTATACTTTCAGATTACAGCTTCTCCATCTGTAAATTCCTAATGCAGCTCCGGCTTGTGTATTCGGTGGTAAAGCTGAAAGGATGACAGTTGGTAGGTGGGCACGACAGTAAGTGCATAGTTGTATTAGGGACCTGGCTCTGCAATAGGATTTGTGGGTGCTTACACTGCTATGGAGAAAAATTAAAAAGGATTCCACGGTTTTATAATTGCTGTTCCTCTGTCAGATGCCTACTGGATGCCCAGAGTCCTCCCTGAGGTGCCTTCACATTCCTTTCACCAGGCTGGAGAGCTTCCAAACCTTTTTTATTCAATGCCAAATGTGACTACTAGTTTATTTCTGGCCATATACAGCTTGAATGTCGGCCAATCCCACCTGAATCAGACAAAATTCAAACCAGAGATGGACAAATCCACTAGACGCAACAAACGTCTACATGAGAATCAAAGGAGTCGGGCTGAAAATCAGATGCAGACACTGTTGGGGGTATCTGACAGAATACAATCGCTGATGGGAGACTCCTCTATCCATGCCAAGGCCCTGGAATTGGATTTCTTCTATATCCTATGGAACAAATGCCTAGATATAGAATATTGTGCTGTGCTCTGGGGGGCCGCGTGAGAATCAGCAGAGCTGGAAGCTGCCACTTTCCCCCGTTCAGGATCTTGCAATGCACTCAAAGAGCTAAACAATATATACACGCACCTCGTAGTAGTTTGCTTCAAAGTGCAAGAAATACTTTTGTATCTTTTAGCTACAGGTAAGCTTACCTGCAGGTAAGCTTAATATCTCCTAATTTGCACCATTTAGGATATATTTGCTCTATTTGACAGGCGCCGCATGTGCTCTGAAGGAATGGCATACCTGTGGCCTGAGACTACAGCACGCATGTGTGGGAGTGACGTCATCACGGCTTGGCCAGTCAGACGGCTGGAGCTCACAAACCTGGAAGGAAGACTAAGTGAAGATGGAAGCCTCTGCAGCGATGCCAGCGCTCCGCTGGGGCACTGTTACAAAGGTAAGTCATTCAGAATGTGCCGGTATGTGATGCATACTACCATATTATCACTTTACCTTGCAGGGATTTTTTTTCCCCCTCAAGGTGCGGTTTACTACCGCTGTACTGCCTTAGTTCAGCTTCAAAACTTAACGCCATTGTAAAGGATTAACCTTTGGGTTTATTTGTTAAGAACATGTCATACTTACCTGCTGTGTAATGGTTTTGCACAGAGCAGCCCCGATACTTTGCAGTCCCCCACCAGTACATCTACCTCTCCCCCCCACCAAGTGCCCCCATAGCAAGCCACTGATTATGGAGGCTCTCATGCATACTTACTCCCAAGCCAGTGAGTGTTAAACCACCAGACAGTCTCTTATATGTCTCATGGACTTGGTGAGATCTCAGCTTTGTGGCCCCAGGTCTGCACACCTACTGTGGCCATGATGTCCGCCCCCCCCCCCCCCGGATGTAATATTTTATATAATAGAGAATGTAACAGCAGGAAGAGGGGGAACACACAAAGGTGGACCGGAACTCTCAGGTGGACAGTCATGAATATAATAAGAATGGAGATCTTTCTGCTGGAACATCCAAGACATAGAAGAAGTCAGGGAATTCCATGGTGCTGTGTTTGTGCACAAGTACTGTACGGCAGAATTATGGAGCTTGTAGTCCTGAACATCTCAGGCCTGCTCAGGATGTCTTCTCCAACCAGAAGTTCATGGAAGTGCAGAAGAGACGGAGCTAAGAGGGCGAACAGTAAAAGCCGGGGCACAACAAAGAAAAATAATAAAAAAAATAAAAAGACTCACTAGCTGGATGTTGCCTGATGTGCAGCGCCATTATTCTACCGAAGGGTATTCACCAACAAACTTTCCAACCTTCGCAAGCCGTCAGCCAAGACCAATCTAGTGCAATTCTACTAAAAGATATCAGACAGATTACTGCATCTGAAAGTCAGGACAGCATTGGAATGTAACAATCAAACCCCATAATGGCTGCCAAGGGGGACTGGAATACAAGGGTTTCCTGACGGAACATCAAGAGAGGTGGCAGCCATATTGTGGGAAAAACACCTCATACCTATAGGATGCTAATAATTTGCATAGCTTGCAGTTCAGCCAATATGGCTGCTTGTCCCTGTCTAGGTAACAGAAACATGTTCAATTCACTGTCACAGCTATGGTTTGCAGCTACTGTATAGGAATAAATGCAAAGAGGCAGATACATAATATATGTGCAAATAACACGGCTGTATACCTTACTGAACACTGCTAGAAAAATACATGGAATATAAACCTGCTTAGAAATGGGATATATCTTCCCTTCAAATAAAAGGGTTTTCACCAGAAACCAGAACCTAAATCCCTGCAAACAATCTTCTTTGGTTAAAGCGACCTGGAGTCATGTGATGGTCCCAGTCTTAGCAATGCCGCAGTATTGTATTCGGATACTGTGCTGATATGTCTTTGTAACTCCATATATTTATATATACTTTTATATTCTATAAATATGCTTTGTGTGTACTACACATTTTTAAGGCAGCAATAACATAAAAGGCACTTTGGTCATAAGAAAACAATATGGCTTCATATTCCCAGAGGAAAAAGTGGAGTCACTGTAGTGAAAAGGACACGTGACCTTGTGTCTATCTCCGAGGCAAAATGGCCGCTCCTACGCCAACACTTACCTTGCATATGTATATCTATTTTATAAAATTAGCTTTTCACAAACCACAGTGATAAAAGCAAAATGTCAAATGTTTTTAAAGATTCAACCGTCAGTAAAGAATTGATCCCGACTGGAATTGCCTTGTGGTCAGGCCACGCTGCTGCATCCGCCTGCATGGTCCTATCAGAAGCTGTAGGACTCCTCAGATAAAAGTTGGGGTGTGAGTGGGCCTCCTGCCCTGTTCCTGATTGTCACTGGAAGGCACTGATTCCAAAGAAGAGCCTCATGCATGGAAAGCGAGCGTTTGGTGAGCGTAGGGTCAGGCCAGCAGACCCATCCGTGTGACTTTAGCAGAAAGGAATGTGTGCAACAGGAAAACAACAGGCTTCGGACTTGTGTGCAGATCCAGAGCCTGCAAAAAAGGGACACAGAGAAGGAAACACATGGAGATCCTGTAGCTCAGTAACAGATAACACCCCCGAGACATTGCCAAAATATCATTTATGTAAACCGCAGCCCTACGACCATCTCAGTCATACAATGTTCCAGCCTGAATGAATGGCTCAATATCCGTCCAACTCTGGGCAAAAAACAAATAAAAACAACTATCCTGGTGGTGCTCCCCACACATGGTCAAGATGGAGTGTTCATTTTTGCCTAGGAGGCATAAGGTGTAATATTCAACATACTCATCAACCCCCAACAGGGGCAATCGGTTCTCTCAAGGGGCCACATGAGACGAGGATTGTTGTGGAGGCTGAACGTGAAGCGGTAGTAAAGCCACTTTGTTCATTTTGACCTTCAGGCAGCTTATAAGAAAGATTATTTGTAGGTAAAATATCTCCTAAATGTGCTCTGAAGGAACGCCATCCCTGTGCCGTGTCCCAAGACTCCCGTACCCATGTGTAGGAGTGATGTCATCGCGGCTCAGCCAGTCAGATGGCCGGACCTTGGAGGGGATTTTTTTTTTTGGGAGGATGCGGTTTTACTACCGCTTTAATTCCTCTCAATATTAATAGCAAAGAGACATCTGGTGCTGAGAATAATAGCTACAACTGCTCCTGAAATAGGTCTCTTTCAGGTGGGATGTCAGGGGGCGGTAAGATCTGGAGTGAAGAACAGGTACATGGCTCCCGGGGTTTACAGTGCACAGGCTCTAACACAGGAAGAACCTGGCTGGGTAGCATGGCAGGAGAGCATCGGGACATCTTCAAGGTAACATTCTCTTTCCAGAACTGAGCCTCCCTGCTACACCAGTCAGCTCCCCGCTACACCAGTCCGCTCCCCGCTACACCAGTCCGCTCCCCGCTACACCAGTCCGCTCCCCGCTACACCAGTCCGCTCCCCGCTACACCAGTCCGCTCCCCGCTACACCAGTCCGCTCCCCGCTACACCAGTCAGCTCCCCGCTACACCAGTCAGCTCCCCGCTACACCAGTCCGCTCCCCGCTACACCAGTCAGCTCCCCGCTACACCAGTCAGCTCCCCGCTACACCAGTCAGCTCCCCGCTACACCAGTCAGCTCCCCGCTACACCAGTCAGCTCCCCGCTACACCAGTCAGCTCCCCGCTACACCAGTCAGCTCCCTGCTATACCAATCAGCTCCCTAGGTTCTCTCCTTCCAGTTCTTGCAGCCAGCCTGCCTCTCGGAGCTCCTTATAGCTTCCTCATGCAGATAGTGGAGGTATTGAGGGCTGGATATGGCTCAGAGGCTGCAATTTGCCCCAGTCTGATCAACAGGGTCCCTCCAGCAGCATGACCAGTCCTGCAAAGCCTCTTCTGTAAGGTGCTCAGGCCACAGGCGCACTCTTGCCTAATCCATATAGAATGCAGGGTAAAAAGTCCTGCATTGTACATGATGATGCAAAGGCAGAGAACAGGACTGCGCCGATGCAGGGCGTAAAGTAAGCAAAGCAGCTCTAGATGCAACAAGCTTTTTACCCCATGAGGATTTTATTTCTCTCTGTGTCCCCATATGATAGATTCCCCCTATTTGTCAAGGTGACAAGCTAGGAAGACAAAAAGTGAGGAAGAATATTTTCACTGGGAGAGAAGCAGAGAAGATCTATTCTATTGGAGACATTTCTAACTGTTCCGTCACTGCTGTGCAAAGAAAAATCCTTTTGGCTCTTAAAACCCAACTTTAGGCAAATTAAAAAAAAAAAAAAAGGTCAATAAAATGAAGAATAGTCAGAACTTATTTCAGGTTTTGTTTCTGTATCATTGTGGAAATATTCCCCAACAGTATCCTTGTATGGGGAATGGACGTCTGCGGGGGAGGAAGGCACAAGACAGCAGAGATGGGTTGAGGGTGTTCTGACCTTCTCCACTTTACCAAAGACGTTTCTGTTCTGTCTGCTTTTTGAAGACATTTTCCATCAACTTCTGTCCTGACAAGATTTCTACATTTAAACATGAGATGAAATGGGAGCAACAGAGGTAAAAGGACTTGTTCACAGGGGACTACTACAACCTACACCTGCGCCAGGCCGTATTTAGGTGCACGGGAGTGTACGGGTGTTCCATGCATACGTATGCACACAGACCCATTCATGTCAATTGGGACCCAGACGCTGCTCTGCGCAGGGTCGTGGCCCCGAACACAGACCGGTGTGCATTCGGGACTGTACACCCGCACTTGTTAGAAGCAGGCACTGTGTCCCAACTAACATGAATGGGACTGTCTGCACAAGGATGCATGGTACCTTTGTATCTGTGTGGCTAAATACGGCCCTTCCCGGGTGTACATTGTACTGATGTGAACGAGGCCAAAAAGGGTCATCATAAAACATTGTAGACCTTCCACAATAATAAACCCCCAAAAATTAAATTTGTTATGTTGCCAATATATTATATTACCAATTCTTTGATGCGGTGGCTGCATTCATTTTTTGTTTTTTAGGCTATTTTTTTTTCACCTAATGAGAGTCTATTTTCAACTTCCCTTTTAAAGACCAAGTGGTCCACCAAAAGTGGCAGGTAGAGGGTAAGACAAACCATTTACCACTTACAAGGGTGCTTACAATTATCAGCTTTTATTAAATTTACATAAAACCCTTATTCCAAAAGGAGAAAAAAAAACTGTTTGAAATGTGATCGCTGGAGCTCAGCTTTAATTAACAAATCAAGTCCTTCTAAATCTAATAGTCCACCTATGTGACGGCAGTGACTTTGGGTGGGGGGCCCATGGAACACAGCCCCATTTGGAGAGGTGGGGAGACCCCTGTCTCAGCTACCCATGTTCCTATTATGTGTAAGTCACCCTGTGCCTGTTAGGGGTACAGGGTGAAATGTTCTAATATTGGTGGGGGGGGTTGTTCATTGTTCTCTGCCATGCGGTTGCATCCCATTGTTCTATTGTGTGTCTTGCTTGGGAGCAAACTATTATGGGATATAATGTTTCTGGCAGCCTTCCCCCTGATGGGACGGCCTGTTGATGTGTTTCCTGTTACTGGGTGTATTTCCCCGCCCTGTGTATATATCTTGTATCTATGTTAAAATAAAGCAGTCTATTTCCTGTCTTTCATACAAGTCTGGTGCTGTCTCGTCCTGTTTGGTCAGCGGTGGTGTCCGTAGATCTGTGTTCGGACAGGGAAGCTGGAGTCTAATGGAAATACCCGAGTGCAGTCTGGGTCCGGTTCTATTACAACCTAACACTCCCCTCTCCCCAGACTGACAATGCTGATTTACAAAAGGTGCCCCCTGTGCTGCTTCCTCCTGACTGGAGACACACCTCACCATAATACAGGAGGTGTGTTATTGGTTGGATTAGGTCAAAACAAAAAGGGGAGAGAAAAAAAAAAAAGCCTAAAAAAAAAAGAAAAAACTAATGTAGCCACTGCATCTGATAAGTAATCTGCAATATACATAATTTTAATACTGCTTCAAAAAAAACACAAAAAAAAAAACAAAAAAAAAAAAAAAAAACAAACAAACATGGCAACTTTGGCAGAAAACTGTATAAAAGACACAGCCTCTGGTGAGCTGACCTAGTGACCTAGGCAAGGGATGTCAAGGAGCACTTTCCCGGGATACTGGAAAGTCCAAAGATCCCAAATCTCATGGGAAGATGCTGCTGCTGCACAGTGCTGGAGATTCAGGGTCCTCTGTATTCCAGGAATCCTGGGAGAAGGCCCAGTGATGTCACCATTGCCTACAGGGTGCAGCTGGGAGCCGGCTGTAAGGCGAATAACAATTTTCTTCTAATTTTGTGTTTTTCACTGAACAGTTTTACGTGAAGGAAACAAACATTTCCCTGCAAGTCCTGCGTTACCGTATATAGAAAACGGCTCTCACCAGCTCTCCTTCTGGGCCACCAAAGTCCAGGTAAAGATGTTTGCTTCCATCATCGGCCGACATTCTGAGCTTTTCAAAAGGATATCTGTGAATGACGGGCCCCGACGGGCCTCCTCGGCACAATGTGAATCCCGAATCAAAGTGGATGGAGAGTGAGACGGCTTCCCCGCGCAGAGTGCAGCCTGTGAATGGATTCGACATGCATCACACACACGGGAAATATGGACAGCGAGTCCAATCTGGGCTAATAGTTGTGAAGTACAGAACCGTCTGGTACCTGCACTGGTCTCGGTCACTCTGCAGCACCTTGGATCCCAGTCTAAGGCTGTGCTTGGGGCCTCCATTTCTACACAAAGTGACAGCATCTGTGAAAAGACTCCACTTCTGACCTGATAATCCCCTCCCTTGTTACTTCCTCCCCTGATCTGCTGCCACCAAAATCCCCAGTGCTGGAGCCTAGAGGGAACCTCACCCACTCCATCATGGGAAGGGTGCTCAGGCCTAACAATAGGCTGCAAGGCCAGACACCAACATGGGGCATGGTCATATGTTCCCCATACCTGCAAGCACTGAGTGTTTTGTTCCAGCCAGGGTAGAGGAACAAGTAGAGGGGTATTGCTAGAGGGCCATATCTCCAAACTAGAGATAAAGCATTTATGACATTAATAGGTTGATTTTGTATTATTTACAGATATTTACTCAGAGTAAAGGTCATCCACATGCGGTCAGCTAACCATTATGTGCCCCGTTACCCTACAGAAGGTTGTCATCTGTAAAAGGCGAGGACACGCTAACCAGGTTGAAGTGTGGCTGTCATGTGATGTTATTTGTGGTAACAATAGTGTGTTTTTGACACATTTAGTTTACAAACAATGGGAATTTATTCTTTTTACCTAGTTGGGGTCCCTTTCTGCCTCCTTTTGTGGTTGTTCCCTTCATGCCTCCCCACAGCCTGGGAAGATCTCACCATTCCTTCCTCTGCATGTGATCGATACCTCTCTCTGTCTCTCATATCTACAGTACTTGGCACAAATATCGGGAATGAGTATCGTTACCTGTGTCAGTATATTCACTGGTGAGTGACTCCATAACATCACAGAGTCACTCTGAATGATAAAAGGGGTTTTCCAGACCTGTCCTCCTCTGAGGGGTTGCACGGGTGTCAAACCGGCGGCCCTCCAGCTGTTGCCAAACTACAAGTCCCATGAGGCATTGCAAGACTGACAGATACAAGCATGACTCCCAAAGACAGAGGCATGATGGGACTTGTAGTTTTTCAACAGCTGGAGGGGCACCAGTTTGACACCCCTGGGTTAGAGATTAAAGAGCTGAGAGTTTGATACAAAGTCAGCTGTCTTTATACTCTGATGCTTTTATTAACATACATGTGAGATTGTTGTACAATTTATTTTTGATTCTTTAATTTTTACTTTTGATTTAGGGTAATTGATCACATGGCAGACCACGGGAGCCAGGAGAAACAAAAGCCAAATCTGACACATTCCACGCAAAACCCTAAAAATAGACTGGGCAAAATTATTGGCACCTACTTAAAACTGTAACAAATATTGCATTCCAAGTTTGTGATGTTGCTGCAATTTGTAATAAACTCACCTGTAACAAATAATAGATCTTAATGTTCCTGTGTCCACTGTGCGCAACATTGTCAAGAAGTTTACAGCCCATGGCTCTGAAGCTAATCTCCCTGGACGTGGACGAAAGAGAAAAATTGATCAAAGACTGCAACAAAGGATTGTTGGAATGGTGGCTAAAGAACCTTGATCAACTTCCAGACAAATTCAAGCTGACCTTCAGGCACAGGGTACAACTGTGTCACCTTGCACTATACGTCGCCATCTGAAAACGGACGTTACGGTAGGGGACTCAGGATGACCCCACTGCAGACACAGAAAAAAAAAAAGAAAGCCAGATTGGAATTTGCCAAAACTCACCTAAGGAAGCCAAAATCTTTCTGGGAGAATGTTTTTTGGACAGACGGAACAAAATGGCAGCTTTTTGGTAAAGCCTATCATTCTACCATTTTCAGAAAAAGCAATGAGGTCTTTAAAGAAAATACAGTCCCTCCAGTCACACATGGTGGGGGGGTCACTAATGTTTTGGGGGGTGCTTTGCCGCTTTAGGCACTGGATGTCTTGACCGTGTGCATGGCATTATGAAATCTGAAGATCACCAAAGAATTCTGGGGAGCAATGTAGGCCCGGTGTCAGAAAGTTGGGTCTCCAGTGTCAGAGGTCATAGGTCTAGCCAGCAATGAGTCCAGATCTCAATCTCATAAAACTCCTGTGGAGAGATCTCCAAACAGCAGTTTGGAAAAGGAACCCTTCCAATCTGAGAGACGTGGAGCAGTTGGCGAAAGAAGAGCGCTCCAAAACTCCAGGACAGAGGTGGAAGAAACTCATTGATGGTTACAGGAAGCCATTCATTTCACTTATTTGTTCCAAGGGGTCTGCTACCAAATATTACATTAAGGGTGCCAATAATTTTGTCCAGTACATTTTTAAGTTTTGCGTGGAATGCGTCAGATTTGTCTTTTTGTTTCTCCATTTTTTTTTTTTTAAATACCAACACAAACAAAAAGAAACATGAGAATGCCGAAACATTTGTAATTGCAGCAATTTTCCGGGCGAAGTGGTTAGTGATCTGACAGAAATGCAGGGGGAGCAAGATTTTTGTTCATGACTGTATAGCATGTTAAAATGATGATGTAATAAAGTATTGAGCTTTTATTATATAGTCTTTGAAGTTGTAAATACTGGCTGGTCATCCTATAATACCCTACTGACAGAGCAATTCACATACAACTTGGCTTTGAAGGAACAAAGTGACAACTTATTGCCTTTACTCCTTTCATTCAACTGTCAAATGTCAGACCTCTACTACCCTCCAAGTTTGGCCATTTGACATTGGAGTAACGGGAAGCAGCCCACGGTGTCAAGAAATGCAAAGCTTTATTATCAATTTGGGGTCCAGGCACAGCCTAGGACACAGGCCATAGCTCCCTTTTACAGTAGTACAATGGTGGGTGCAAAATACTGTCCCACCGTGACATACAGAACAAGTGCCTTCCGTTAAATGCTAGATAATGCATCCACCATACAGCTGGGTCCCCGTGGCTTCTACTCCTAGACCTCAGAGGGTGCACTTGTAGCCGGCTTCTCCCCGCTCCCCCCACACAATGCAATACGAATCAAAAACAATAAAACGTCACTTACTGATGGTGACCTCCTTGTGAGTTCCGCTGCTGCATGGCAACCTTGCACCAGCGCTCGTGTCCATGCCGAGAGGTCCCTCTGATTCTCCACACGGAAGACACGTATGTCTATGCCCTGAGGACATCCTGTGCGGGTGGCAAAGGTCAGGTGTGGCCCCAGAGAAGGTGACGTGTGCCCAGGACCAGAGTGCACCAACCTAGAAGGAGATTGTGAAATGGTGGTTACACCTCCTAAGCAAAAATCTTGCTACACAAAGAACGCTCCAGATGTAAATCAAACAGAAGATGACCATTTGTGACCGGAGCAGAAGATACAAGTCAGAGACGTCAAGCAGCAATCACCTCCTCCTTACACTATACTGATGACCTATACAGGGATTTAAAAGTAAAATAAAGGGTACTGAAGTTTGTTGCCATTTCACGACTGCACACAAATTTAAGGTTTGACTTGTTGAATATCTATAAACATGGTGGAACCTCATCTTTTATATTATTTAACCCCCCCCCCCCCCCCCCCAAAAAAAAATAGGGTCTTTTTTTGTGCCCTAAAATTAATTAGTGTATTTTTTTTACGCAAATTTTGCATTTCCTAGACCTTTGCAGTAATATCACGTGACAAAGAATTGGAACTACTATACTATTTTATTCTCTAGGGTCTTTGCCTTCAGAAAATAAATCCTGTTTGGGGGTTTTGTGTAATCTTCAAGCCTAAAATGATTCTTAAACTTGTGCAAATAACGCAAAAAGGCTCTGGCAGCAAAAGGAATAAAGGATAAGCTGGACACGCCCCTTTCCTGAGGAGCAGCCAATCGATGCTCATTGCACTGCAGTCTCACCTCAGATTTCAATACTGTTTTGGTTAAAATTGATTTTTTTTTCCTATCTGGACAAGTAGATTGGGGCACCGATTAAGTCCATGGACAAGTAGTTTTTTCAAAAATTTCCACACCCCTGGACTGTTCTGTGCATTTATGATGGACCTTATAACTCATGATGATTTTGTTTATTATATATGAGTCCTCTGGGGTGTTATGATTTATAGTCTCTTGTATAGATGATTTGCAGCTTGTGAAGGTATTTTTGAAAGTTATATTACTTATTTATTGATTTTGCACATTGCATATAAATGGGGTATATGAGTTATATGGGGTATTAATATACATTTCTTGCAAATTGAACTCATGCCCTATATCCTATACGAGGATATTATTCGATGTCATTCGTTTCTGATTTTGCACTTTTTTTTAGCACTTTTACACTAGCAGGGACATAGGATTGGGAGCTGGTTTTGTTCTAAGTGCAGGTAGTGCTGTTCTATATTTATTATCTTGCGTTTTCTGCATCAAACGGCTATTTATTGCTACACAAGTCTATGAGACGTCAAATGCAGCCATCAATGAACTCTGAATTATGCCAATCGACACAAAGCCAAAACCTGTCAAAGCTGAACATGAATTATGCAATCTGATTGTACAATCTCCTTCAGATCTACCATCAACTACGTAGTCAAAGTTATTACATGGCTATGGGGATAAGGGGATTGGACATTTAGATGCATTTCCACAATTGCACTCAGATGGCATAAACACTGCAATCTAAAGTTCTGTACATTTTTCTTTATTATTGTCAAGCCTAAATAAGTTTTTTATCAATATGAAATTCTGCATATTAAAATCTAGCTTTTTCAGCCAGCTTATTGTTTGCATTTTCTATGCTCTTCGTTTGCTTCTTTTATTGTTTATGGAGCTCAATAGCTCAGATTTGCACACAGAAGCAGAGTAAGAGGAGCTGCTCCTCCACTAACTCTGCCCAAAGTTTCAATGAAAGGGTGTCTAAAAAGGAGCTGCTTTTCTGTGCCATCTCTTTAGCTAACCCATTGTGTTCTGGAAATTCTTTGTCAAGCAGATTTTCTTTTATAGAAATGGAGAGACTGTATAAAACAGTGAAGATATAAACCAGTTTAAAAAAAAGTTGTAAATGTTAAAATCAATTCCAAAGGCAAACATACACAGACGATGACATAATGCACAAAGGGAAGAGTGTAGGACAGTGAAAATATGGAGCAATGTTTCCTCTTCCCCGAACAGGAAGCCAAAGAGATTATGAATGAAGACAAGAGAGTGGCCATGCATGAGGAACGGGAGGCCTTGTGACGGGGAGGATCCGAGAGCCTTGGACCTCATTTGTTACATGCTCTGAAATGAGAGAACTGCATGCTCCCTCACCAGCCCACCCTCAAATGAAATATTCCTTTTTAACATGATTTTAATGAAGCCTCTACATTTCATGAGTTTTATGATTAGTCCGCTGCCATGATTCTGACAGCATGCTAAAAAGACTGACCAAGAAGTTAAACCGAGCCTTGCCACTCACCAATGTGAATTCCATTACTGGGGGCCAAACCTGCAGGACTGCCAGATGATGCCATTGCTAAGCCACTTCTGTGTCTGAGCCTGAACAATGGCTAATGCCCATACTTGTTCCAGGCCAATGACAGGCTGACCACAGACGGTTCATCCATTTCGGTCAGCCAGAGGGCGAGGAGCATGGAGGATTCTGACAGAGGGTCCTCCACCATCAGAATACACTGATCAGCTGAATGGCTGCCAGATGCTGATTGACAAAAGTCTTCCAATAGTCTCATTGGGAACAGCCATAGGTGGACTGAAAATGTGATTCCTGCTGAAGCAGCCACAATTTTGATCCATCTATTGGCAGATTTAGCCTTTAAAATTTGCAGTTTCCATACAACATGAGATGGCACTGAAGTCACAGATTCAACATGACAGCCAGGAAAGTAGCATTTCCAGAAGCAGAGTCCAGCAATGACAGCTACTTTACTTCCTCAGTCTGGGTCTCATTTTGCAATTTGATGTTATTCAAACATTTTGAACAAAGCAATCTGCAACCCACGGGTTTCATGTCTTAGATAATTGTGGTTGAATTTGACCTAAAACATTGCAATGCCACTCAAAAGGAGATTCCAACCATTATCTGTGTGAATTGCAACAATTTGATCACCTGAACGTGGGAATCGATTCAGCCTGTGTGTGGCAGACTGGGAATACAATGATGTTTGCCCTGTACTAAACCTGGCCGTAAGGTGCAGCAAGTCCTGGTCCTCCCAGGCCGAGTGTCCTCTGCTTATGTGTCTATATGGTCTGCCATTCACCATTCAGCCCACCCCCGTCATCCACAGAAGAACTTTGTAACCTGCTACAGAATTTCTGAAAATGCACCTCCAACTGGCTCCCGATCCCCTGGCGCCTCGGCCCACATAGGGGCCTTCTCTTATGTAGAGGTGACAAAGGTGGTTTACCTGGTGGATATAAGTGGCAGCTTCTGTTTCGGGTTTGCCCACTCCTCTCGTGTCCTTGGCATTGCAGTAAACAGCAGAAAATCCCTCTGTGAGACGACTGCCAGGGCCGGATTCCATGACGCCCTCCCATCGTCCTGAGATACCTGAGCACAGCAAGAGCCGGAAAGTCATTGCTAAGTGAGTGGCAGTTTCTGGGGTTTGGAGTTTGCATTCTTAGTCAAACCAGCGCTACATAAAACATCTGCAAGTAGATCTACATTAGAAGAAGTCTGAAAAGTAACGCTGGGCACAACCATCACTTGGGAGGGGAACATCCGATAGAGGGAACCCCCCCCCCCCACCAGAATACACCGGGCAGCGGTGGCAGCCATTGGCTGAGAGCGCTGATCGGACACTGGTTTTCCTGTATGCCCATTCGGCTGGCTTCTCTCAGACAGACGGGTGTACACATGGGCCGAATGTCGGACAGTTTCTACTGAATCAGCCGATATTCGGCCAGTGAGTACCGGGCTTTAGTTTCAGGAACGCTCATTTTGAAGTACTTTCAATCGAGGTTCTTCAAGTCACCGAATGTACGGATGAGACTTTTCGGATGAATGTTCACCTCAAAGATCTACTAGTGCAGCGCTTGTCAACCCTGAAAATTCTGCACAATCTTGCAGCGCCTAACCCTAAACAGTTTTATATATCGCAGCAACATCTGCACATGTGGTACACCCAATGCTAGAGGGATTTATTCTTCCACACCAATGCACTTGGCACACTGGTAATGACTAGTATGCCATTGTTTCTCTCTCTCTCACTGAGCTAGTGTGGCCCCAGTTCTGAGAGAGAGGGGCAGGGAAGGGGTAAGATAGGATGCTGTGCAGGTGCCTGATGTCCTTATCATTGGTTATGTCCTTGGCAGCTAGAAAGTTGTAAGTGCACAATGTAAATCTGTGGATTTGTGTGACCAAAAGTCTGTATACAATTGTTTAGGCATTTTGTCAAGGCACTGTGGTTGAAAAAGACTGCAATAGTGAATGTCCAGCTTAAGCTTGTGAAGACACTGGGAATTATAAATAATAGACTACAGTTTCCACTTTTTTTCCAGCTCAGTGTTGCTGATCTCCTGCAGCCTCTTTACAGCCCACTTCCTGTCTCCATACACTACAGTGATGGCTGCATGGCATTTCTCAGGGTGGATTTCCTGATGGTGACACGGAGCCATGCCTGTAAAATCTGCATTGATATGATCACTTATAGAATCCACCAAAGAGCATGTGATAGGGTGATGACAGAGGAGCAACTGGTAGATAGATGCAGAGTGTTGTCACCCTATAACAGGAAGTGCCTTTGAAGTGGAATTCTTGGCTAGCTATAACTTCTTAAAAATGTCCCCTCCCCCTTGTGCTACACAAATATATATATATATATATATTATATATATATATATATATATATATATATATATATATATACACATACATACATACATACATACATACACACACACACACACACACACACACACACACACACACACAGTTGTGTTGAAAATACTAGCCGTCAGACATCACTAACCGGATCAATCGCTGTTTTTGGTGGAAATGATATTTCTACATGGCAGATAATTTCCTAGCAGGTGTAGTAGAGTCATAGAAACCCAACAGACCCAACAGTCATGACATGCATGCTGCTGATTCTGTGTCATTGAATCACTCATTGAAAGGGGCGTGTTCACAATAATAGCCGTGTGGAGTTCTATTAGTGAGGTCATTCATTCTTTGATAAACAGGTGGCAATTATTGCCCTTATTTAAGGAAGGAAGGCAGCAAATGTTGGACATGCTGGTTACAGTGCATTTCTCTCTGAAATTCTGAGGAAAATGGGTCGTTCCAGACATTGTTCAGAAGAACAGCGTACCTTGATTAAAAAGTTGATTGGAGGGGAAAACATATAAAGAAGTGCAGAAAATGATCGGCTGCTCAGCTAAAATGATGGCAACTGCTTTAAAATGGCAACCAAAACCTGAAAGACGTGGAAGAAAGCGAAAAACTACCATTGGAATGGATAGAAGAATAGCCAACATGGCGCGGACTCAGCCAACAATCAGCTCCAGGAAGATGAAAGAAGGTGTGACGTTCCCTGTAAGGACTCAGCCAACAATCAGCTCCAGGAAGATGAAAGAAGGTGTGACGTTCCCTGTGAGGACTCAGCCAACAATCAGCTCCAGGAAGATGAAAGAAGGTGTGACGTTCCCTGTGAGGACTGTTACAATTAGAAGACGCCGATGTGAAGCCAAGCTATCTGCAAGAAGTCCCCGCAAAGTCCCACGGTTTGGAAAAAGACGTGCTGAAGAGGTTACAATCTGCCAAAGAGCACATTGACTGGCCTAAAGAGAAATGACGCAACATTTTGTGGACTGATGGAAGTAAGATTGTTCTTTTTGGGTCTAGTGGGCGGAGACAGTTTGTCAGACGACCCCCAAACACTGAATTCAAGCCACAGTACACTGTGAAGACCGTAAAGCATGGTGGTGCAAGCATCATGATATGGGGATGTTTCTCATACTACAGTGTTGGGCCTATTTATCGCATACCAGGGATCATGGATCAGTTTGAATACATCAGAATACTTGAAGAGGTCATGCTGTCTTATGCTGAAGAGGAAATGCCCTTGAAATGGGTGTTCCAACAAGACAACGACCCCAAACACACCAGTAAACGGGCAACATCTTGGTTCCAGACCAACAAGATGGACGTTATGGAGTGGCCAGCCCAATCCCCGGATCTTCATCCAATAGAAAACTGGGGTGACATCAAAAATGCCGTTTCTGAGACCAAACCAAGAAATAGAGAAGAACTGTGGAATGTGGTCCAATCATCCTGGGCTGGAATACCTGATCACAGGGGCCAGAAGTTGGGGGACTCCATGCAACACAGATGTACAGCAGTTCTCAGAAACAGTGCGACTACAACCAAATATTCATGAAGTCATTCAAAGGAAAGCAAAACCTTCAAACATTTCTCAGTTTATATAGTGAATGTTGGAGTTTGTAAAGAAGAATACAAACACTGAGATTTTTTTGAACCGTCTAATATTCACTTTTCTTCCATTTTTTTAGAGGAACAACACAAATTTGATGTATTTTTCTTCATGTTGTGATTTGGAATAGAATGTGTCGTGTTCCCAATGCATTTGTGTGGATGGAAAGAAAAGGATTAGAAGGATTCGCAGCTTCAGTCACTTTTTTCAGCACACACGGATATTATTTTCAACACAACTGTACATACACACATACACTTACCCTTTTCTCAGCCCCCTCTGGTCCCATGATCCCGTGTCAGTAAGCGACCAGCTGCAGGGGAGAGAAATGACAAGGACTAGGAATTCTGGGAGTGGTAAGGTTTCCCATAGCCCAGCCGTTGTCAGCGCTCCCTCCTCTCCTCTGCAGCCCAGCGCTTACTGACACAGGAGACCGGAGCTGCACAATCATATGACCCGAACCTGCGGATCACATGACCACACTGGAGCAAACTGGGAAAAAAGGTAAATATAAAGATTTTGTTTTTTTAAATGGGGGGGGTTACATATTTCAGAATAGTTATGTTAGGAGGTGACAACATATTTAGGTTTCCATATGATTTCACTGACAGGGCTCACATCTCCCTGAAAGACTAATTCCAATGCTGAACACAGGTGGTCAGCATAACTGCCAGGCAATTCACATTTTCAGAAGGAGGTCAGGAACAGTCGCCTCCATCAGTCCCTCCTATTAGGGTTACTAATCTGATAGAATGAATGAAATGAATGAATGAATGAACGCTGTGTGCTTGGATAAGGAGATCTACTGACCACTCGGTAACAATCAGATCTGTGGAAAATTGTCACATCTGGCCATCTGTTGGGCCAATTTCAGCAATAATAAAGGAAGGAAGTGAGGCTCACCTGTTCTGCCACCCAGCCTAAGTGCCTGAGGTCCTCGCTGGCAGCTCCCAGCATGCACTGCATCTCCGCCAGCACCTGCGGCAGCAGCGCCGTGACGTTATTGTGCAGGGCCTGTGACCAGGACAACGCGGAGGCGGAGTCTCGACACCGGAGAACGATTGAGTGACACCCATCAGGAGAGCGCAGTTCCACCAGCCTGGAAGAGATCTGGCCGTAAGAAGAGAGAGAGAGAGGTACACATGACGTACCTCTTATGACACACAGAAACAGCTGCATCACGCACACACATGGTCACTGACCGGCCCTCAGGGTCGAACATGCTCAGGTTTCTGGCCGCGTAGCACATTTTTAAGGGGATGACTTTGTAGTCCCTGGAGCCATGTTTGGGGGAACCAGATGTATCGCTGTGTGATGGATCCGTCAGTTCAAAACCGTCCCAGGGAAGATCGCCAACTAGGGAAGCTTTCCGGATGTAGGGAGACACGTCCTGCAAGAAGCGCACTGCGGGAACAAAAACAAGACATGGTGTCACATGGAGAACCACAACACACAACATGGTGTCACACGGAGAACGACCGCACAGAGCGGGAACAAAAACAAAACATGGTGTCACATGGAGAACCACACCACAACATGGTGTCACACGGAGAACGACCGCACAGAGCGGGAACAAAAACAAAACATGGTGTCACATGGAGAACCACACCACAACATGGTGTGTCATGTGTCACATGGAGAACGACCGCACAGAGCGGGAACAAAAACAAAACATGGTGTCACATGGAGAACCACACCACAACATGGTGTCACACGGAGAACGACCGCACAGAGCATGGAGGACCGCACAGAAAAAAACAAAACATGGTGTCACATGGAGAACCACACCACAACATGGTGTCACACGGAGAACGACCCGCACAGAGCGGGAACAAAAACAAAACATGGTGTCACATGGAGAACCACACCACAACATGGTGTCACACGGAGAACGACCGCACAGAGCGGGAACAAAAACAAAACATGGTGTCACACGGAGAACGACCGCACAGAGCGGGAACAAAAACAAAACATGGTGTCACATGGAGAACCACACCACAACATGGTGTCACACGGAGAACGACCGCACAGAGCGGGAACAAAAACAAAACATGGTGTCACACAGAGAACGACACCACAACATGGTGTCACACGGAGAAGACCGCACACCACAAACATGGTGTCACACGGACGGAGAACGACTGCACAGAGCGGGAACAAAAACAAAACATGGTGTCACATGGAGAACCACAACACAACATGGTGTCACACGGAGAACACGGAGAACGACCGCACAGAGCGGGAACAAAAACAAAACATGGTGTCACACGGAGAACCACACCACAACATGGTGTCACACAGAGAACGACTGCACAGAGCGGGAACAAAAACAAAACATGGTGTCACATGGAGAACCACACCACAACATGGTGTCACACGGAGAACGACCGCACAGAGCGGGAACAAAAACAAAACATGGTGTCACATGGAGAAACACACAACACAACATGGTGTCACACGGAGAACGACGACAACACAGAGCGGGAACAAAAACAAAACATGGTGTCACACGGAGAAGGACATTACAGATTTTTACACTTTGATGTGTTGATGAGTTTGTATGTGATATTTGCACTTTATATCTCGGGGACGGGTCTATAACTTGCACTGGACACTGGTGAGGTGTCTTTTTCTCGCTGCACTTCATGGTTTTGCGTTGTATCTGGAGAGGTTTAGCGTCAGTCACTTGTAGGGGGTTCTTGTTATCGGCCTTTGCATGGACTTTGTTTGATTTTCACGAGTCCCATCGGCCACCACGGCAGACACTCTGAGACGGCGTCCGCACAAGTGCAGCGACAGCACTTGTAGCCCAGTTTTTACTTCCTCCAGACCCGAGACAGAAGGTCAATACCTCCATCCAGACCTGGCGCCGGATCCTGGGCACCGATGTGCGAGCCGCAACACACTGATCAGCTACAAACACAACATGTAATACATGCAATTCTCTACTGAATACCAGTTTGTTTCATTTTTTGCAAAAGTCAGACGATACCGGTATCACCACAACCAACCCCCCCCCCCCCCCCCCTCGGTGAACGATGCTGGTGCCCTCGGTGGACAATGCCGATGCCTCCCCCCCCAGTAGACAATGCCGATGCCTCCCCCCCCAGTGGACAATGCCGGTGCCTCCCCCCCCTCAGTGGACGAAGCCGATGCCTTCCCCCCCTTCCTCGGTGAACGATGCTGGTGCCCTCGGTGGACAATGACGGTGCCTTCCCCCCCCCCCCCCCCCCTCGGTGGACGATGCCGGTGCCTTCCCCCCCCCCCCCCTCGGTGGATGATGCCGGTGCCTTGCCTCCCCCCTCGGTGGACGATGCCGGTGCCTTCCTCCCCCCTCCCCCCTCGGTGGACGATGCCGGTGCCTTCCCCCCCCCCCTTCCTCGGTGGACGATGCCGGTGCCTTTCCCCCCCCTCGGTGGACGATGCCGGTGCCTTCCCCCCCCCCCTCGGTGGACGATGCCGGTGCCTTCCCCCCCCCCCCTCGGTGGACGATGCCGGTGCCTTCCTCCCCCCTCGGTGGACGATGCCGGTGCCTTCCTCCCCCCTCGGTGGACGATGCCGGTGCCTTCCCCCCCCCCCCCCCCCCCCCTCGGTGGACGATGCCGGTGCCTCCACCCCCCCCCCCCCTCGGTGGACGATGCCGGTGCCTCCACCCCCCCCCCCTCGGTCGGTGGACGATGCCGGTGCCTTTTTTTCCCCCCCCCCCCCTCGGTGGACGATGCCGGTGCCTTTTCCCCCCCCCCCTCGGTGGACGATGCCGGTGCCTTTCCCCCCCCCCTCGGTGGACGATGCCGGGTGCCTTTTTCCCCCCCCCCCCCTCGGTGGACGATGCCGGTTCCTTTTTCCCCCCTCGGTGGACAATGCTTTTTTTCCCCCCCTCGGACGATGATGGTGCCTTCCCCCCCCCCTCAGTGGACGATGCCGGTGCCTTTTTCCTCCAGGCCACTAAGCCCTGAGCACCACACCCTGGAGGGCTCATGCTTTCATACCTGGAAGGACCAGGTCTCCGGCAGACTTTGGAGTCAAGAAGGGGAGTGTGTGTAATGGTCAGCGGGTTCCAATTCTTTGGTCGGCACCATTCTCTTACATACAGATTTACTGACATTTAGCTGAACCTTTCCACAGATGTGTACAAATAGGCAACGGGCCTTCCTAGAGCAGCCAAATCCTCATGAAGCACAGGAATGACAGCGCCGTGATTGGAGGAGCACAGGAATGACCACAGCGCCGTGATTGGAGGAGCACAGGAATGACAGCGCCGTGATTGGAGGAGCACAGGAATGACAGCGCCGTGATTGGAGGGAGCACAGGAATGACAGCGCCGTGATTGGAGGAGCACAGGAATGACAGCGCCGTGATTGGAGGAGCACAGGAATGACAGCGCCGTGATTGGAGGAGCACAGGAATGACAGCGCCGTGATTGTAGGTCTTCCATTCCTGGCCTCCCCCCTCCTGCTGGAAGTCCGGGGGTTAATCTGCTATCTAACCAGAGATTATATTGCTTGCTGCAGAATAAGGAAAGATTACAGACAGAGTCCATATAAGGCAGAGAGGGAGAAGAACGGCATAACAAGTGGAGGGGCGCAGGAAAGGGGGACAGGCATGCGGCGAAAAGGGGCACCCAGGGGCCTCTGCAGGCTGCACACGATTATCAGGTTCAGCCATGAGAAAAGACCGCTGACGGAAGCAGACCGGAGAGCTGGGACCCCTGGGTGGGACCATGTGTGGCTTTACACATATTTACACTGTAATCCAATAATAGGTGATCACACATTAACGAGGGGCCACAACTAATCCCCTGAGCCACAGGCAGAGAACGACGTCTGCAAGGCCAGGGCCGGCTGGAAACTGAAGCAAATGGTAACAATCCAGAAATGCCCAAAAACAAACAAAAAAAAAAAAAAAAAAAACTACAGAAATGTTATGTTTTTATATTGACTTTTCTGTGTATAAAACCAGGAGAGCCACTTAAAAAAAGCCAAAAAATCCTCCCACACACACATTTCCGTCCCCACACATCATAAACGGTCACTTTAAGGGGGTTTCCAGGTACCATGTGACTGTACTCACACCTCCTGATTGGTGCCAGGTCCTGAATTGTGGTGGAGGGAGGGCTATCATCACATGGTGTGCCATGACCTAAAAAAAACAAAAACAAACAAAAAAGGTACAAGGTTTCCTTAGAGTTGAATTCCAAAAAAAAATTTTTTTTTTGATCATTGGATCAGAGTCTCCTGCAGACTATTCCTCCAGCACCACAAGTCTGTACCCAGGTAAAGACCTTCAATTACAGGGCTGGAGAAAGTCATCAATGGCACACATGCGCCGTGACGTCACCTTATTTGGACTCGGTTGATACAAGCCCCTCCATAAAGCATCTTGTAATTGGAGAACAGAAAAGAACATCAGTCTCCGTTTGATATTCCAGTCTGCAGATTAAAAGTACCGAAGATAAAATACCCAACTTCCTGTGTCATCTGACACCGTATTGAAATCCCAACCAGTGTTGTCAGGCCTGCCGGACAGCAGGACCCCTCCCATCCCCTCCCTTCTGTCCCTCTCCATGTTCACACATTGAATTTCTATCCCAGCAAAATAGTGCTGCAGCTGTGACCCCCAAGAACCTGCCAACCTGTGTGCAAGGAAAGGGCTCTCGGAAGATGTAGTTCTGGGGGTGTACCCACCTCAGTAGGAACTAGACTCCCGTCAGCTGCCCCTGCAATAAGGAGGTCACAGAATAATAAAAGCGGTTTCTCCCTGCAGATGTTGGGATAGGAGGGGACGATGGAGTTTGGGGGACACCTGGACAATGGCTGGATATACACTTCACAAGGTGCAATGATTGATGTAGTCAGCCCAAAGCACTTCACTATCTGATACCTGAACTATAAAGACTCAAAACGTCAATTGCATTTCCACTGTGACATGTGACTGTGCTGGTGCTGCATTCACTTCTATGGCGGCCAGCACACGGCTCCGGGGGGGGGGGGGGGGGGGGGGGGGTGTACTCACGTGTGTCCGCGGATCTGCACTACTCTGGTGTGAATGTGCCCCAACTAACCAATCATGTACCAATGTGACAGCCATACTTTACAATAATGTCCCGCAACGTGTCGGCTCTGAAAATACAGGATACCGGCCCTTTAAATAGGTCTGTAGGTTTCTTTTTTAGTTGATGGAAAACGCATCAACTTCGCCACGTTTTCGTCTCCGTTAACCTGGCACGAAGGTCCAGATGGCGCACTATGGCGTGCGTTTGTGCATGCATGCCGCAATGTACGGTTACAACACTAGACCTTCACATCGTCCACAACACCACCATAACATTCGCTCTAGGTCCATGGCGCACTATGGCGTGCGTTGTGCACGCATGCCGCAATGTACGGTTACAACACATCGCATCG